TATATATATATATATGTGTGTGTGTGTGCGTGTGTGATATTTATACTTAATATATTAACTTAATATAATAACTTATTATACACTTACTTAACAATTCAATACGTGGGGCTAAAACTATATTATTATTGCAAAAATATGCCGATTATTGTGTTCATCTCTTAAGACGAGTTAAAATGTGTAAAACAGGTATTCCATAGGCATTAAATTATTAAGGAAACGAATCCCTTCTCACCAGCTCCTGAATTGTGAACCTCAACAAGGCTGGAAATAATCTTGATCGTCTCTTGAGAGATGAGGGTAGCGCGGCTAACTGCAGTCCGGAGTAGCCTACTTGAGAATGGTAATGGTGTCTGGGTTCCTGAAAGTATCTATGCGTCCAGGTGTGCACACGCTCAGAGTGGGCAAATGGCACATTTTCATGCATGCACACTCAGAGTTCACTGTGCGCACACATAGGCCAACGGACATGTGAACACACACTCAAAATGAATACAACCACTCGTCATGCTCCATTATGACCGAGTGTGCACACCTATACGGGCTTGCACACGTTCACAAGTGCATTTGGGCAGAAATTAAACACATTTTCAGACAGGCTTGCTTGAGGCATTTATGTACAGCTGCACTTGAAACTACGCACTTCTTGACAGGAATGGCCTAACAGAACACAGATTCGGTCAGACTCGGCCGGTTTTTCTTACTCTTCATGGGCTCACATCTCCGATTGTGTACATGCCTTACTATGCCTCCACATGTACGTAGCAGAAACTGAAGCTGCACCTGTAGATTGGTGACCGAGTTTGGCCCAGCACAATTGGTCGGTCGCATTTATCCTATGTTCTTCAATGGCGTCTCGGTGTTTCGAGGGAGGAGGACGACGCCGAAGACGATTGCGAAGAAGAGGAAGAGGAAAAGGAGGAGTAGGAGGAGTAAGAAGAGAAGGAGGAGGTGAAGGGAAGGAGGAGGGCGGCGACGAAGAAATAGAGGAGGGTGAGGATGAGAGGGAGGGATTATTGTTAGGTTGGGGGAAAGGGAGAGTATAATCTGAATGGATGGTGAGGACCGACACCACGTTGCCGATACACGCATAGAGGCGGCATTTGCGTCTGCTATCTCAGATATGCTTGGCGCAAAGGTTAATCACTTTCAGATAGAAGAGCTGCAGTCAACCTATTTCGTTTTAGA